CTTGCGCTCATTGCATCTAGGAGGCATGCTGGTGGATCCTGGTCAAATCGGGACTCCCGCCTGAATGGTAGGCCACGGGGTGTTCGCATCTGAGGGTGCATGAATTTTGGCAAGGTGTTCTGCAGCATCGTTGAAGCATCTTTGGGTCTACTACGGTTCCCTCTTCCCTCTGCGATTCCTCCTTACGACGTTTAGGAACTTTGGCTTCGAGTGTCGCTCCGCCGGTTTTGAACCGCTACGTTTCGGCGCGACACGCTATCCATTTCTTGGCCCCCCAGCGTCAACGTCCGAGCTTTTCTCCGCCTTCCGCCACGCAGAGCGGAGCGACGCGCTGTCCGCTCGCAAGGCATAGCGTGTCGCCGGAGCCGCCGCCGCGACAAGCCAGCCAACAAATCCTGACTGCATTGGTTTCCTCCTCCTCCTCCCCCTCGTTGTCTGCGCTCCACCTCCAACAAGCTCCCCCTCCTCCTCCCCCTCCTCCTCCTCCTCCTCCTCCTCCTCCTCCTCCTCCTCCTCCTTGTATTGGTTTCCTCCTCCTCCTCCTCCTCCCCCTCACTCTCCACCTCCAACAAGCTTTGCGGCTTGCCTAGCACGTAGCTTGTTCTGTTACGAAAAAGGGCCGCGCAGAGGGGGGGCGAAGAGCGAGGGAGCTTCGGGGGGGGGAGCGTGCAGCGGGGTGCTCGTCGAGAGGGAGAGCGGGCGGGAGGAGAGAGCAGCCCCGAGGACGAGAGTCCGAGGAAGCGCAGACATGGACTGAGGCGCGTGGGTGAGCGACGGGGGCCCCGCTTCCGTGCGACGTCGGCGCGCTCCGTCGCCAAAGCAGGCGGCCCCGGCGCCACGCTTCGGGGACGACTTCGGTCCCTGGATCGGGCGCCCCCGCGCCAGATCCACGGGATCCCCCCGTCCATGTTGGCGACTGCCCCGATCCATGGATCTGGCGCCCCCGCGCCAGATCCACGGGATCCCCCGTCCATGTCGGCGCGCGCCCGAGAGGCGGGGAGGCGGGCGCCGAGGGGAGCACGCGCGCGCGCAGCGTTGCCACGCAGCCAGGACGCGGAGAGCGAGGACCTCTCTGGGTTCGGAAGGGACTCGCTGCTTCTTGGGTCCTTCCGCGGTGGTTCCTCCAAGCGCCCCGTGGGCGCCCGGGCTTGGGGCCCAGGAGGGGCTTCGTTCCCTATCTGGCGTCCCTTCTGGTCCAGCAGCGCCTCGGCTGTAGCAGGTCTAGGCTGCAGGTCCAGGGGAGCAGCGGGCAGCGGGCAGCGGGTCGGAGGCGGGGCGCGGAGCGCGGGGGAGGCGGCGGGCGAGGTTGCCCTGGGAGCGAGCGGCCATGGAGTGTGCGCCCAGCCGGGCCGGCGCGCGGCGGAGCTGCGGGGTGCGCCCTTGTGGACAGAGGTGAGGTGGATGATGAGGAGGGGGAGGAGGAGGAGGAGGAGGAGGAGGAGGAGGAGGAGGAGGAGGAGGAGGAGGAGGAAGAGGGCGCGTGAGAGGCGGAGGAAGAGGAGGAGAAGGAGGAGGAGGGGAGGAGGAGGAGGAGAAGGAGGAGCAAGAACGCCACAGCGCAGGATTCAGGTTTGGTCAACGTAAAAGGAGGAGTAGGAGGAGGAGGAGGAGGAGGAGGCGGAGGAGGAGGAGGAGGAGAGGAGGAGGAGGGCAGAGTAGGAGGAGAGGAGGAGGAAGAGGAGGAGGAGGAGGAGGAGGAGGAGGAGGAAGGAGGAGGAGAGGAGGAGGAGGAGAGGAAGAGGAGGAGGAGGAGGAGGAGGAGGAGGAGGAGGAGGGAGGAGAGGAGGAGGAGGGGAGAGGAGGAGAGGGGAGGAGAGGCGGAGGAGGAGGAGGAGAGGAGCGCGGGAGAAGGAGGAGGGGAGGAGGAGGAGGAGGAGGAGGAGGGGGAGGAGCAAGAACGCCACAGTCGCAGGATTCAGGTTTGGTCAAACGTAAAAGGAGGAGGAAGGAGTAGAGGAGGAGGAGGAGGAGCGGAGGAGGAGGAGGAGGAGCAGGCGCAGAGTGAGGAGGAGGAGGAGAGAGGAGTAGGAGGAGGAGAAGGAGGAGGAGGAGGAGGAGGAGGAGGAGGAGGAGGAGGAGGAGGAGGAGGAGGAGGAGGAAAAGGAGGAGGAATGGCAAATGATGAAAGAGGATGAAGGTGGAAGGAGGAAGGCAGAAGGAGGGAGAACGGAGGAGGAAAGCCTGGAGAAGGGAGTCGCCGTGGAACGGGCAGTAGAGCGGCCGCACCGGGGTTGGGGCTGCAGCAGACCGTGTCGGGGCATCGCGCCGTCGTGGGGCATCCGCAGGAGCCTCCCCGGGAGAATGCGGCGGGCCTGCTGCAGGGGTACGGCCAGGAACTTTGGCTCAGCGTGCCGCTTGGCTGGCCGTGGCCCACCACGCTTCCGCGCGGCGCGCCGTCCACTTCCCGGCCCCCCGAGCGTCCACGCCCCGAGCTCCTCCGAGCCCCCTCGCCCTGTGGAACGGAGCGGCACGCCGTCCGCCTGGCAGGGCATGCCCGCGTCGCCAGGGCCGCCGCAGCACCACGCGGAGCACGAGTTCCCGACCGCAGGGGGCCCCGCCACCCCATAGGCGTCGGCGAGAGAGAGAGAGAGAGGGAGAGATCCTCGGGCGGGTGGTAATGGGGGACGACTGACCTGAATGGGGGGTGCAGACAGACTTTTTGATCCGCGGGTCGAGAGCGCGCCTCTTCCGGTCGAAGCTAAGCGGGCCGCGCGAAGCTTGAATTATGTAGGCAGAGAAGAGGAGGGAGGAAGCGGCGGAGCCTCAGCGGGCGAAGACAGACAAGGGCCCTCAAGGGCCCCTCTTCGGGGCCCCTTCTGGAGCCGGCAGGGGCCCAAAAAGGACGTGGCATCGCTTGGACGTGTGTATTTTTCCTTCGGCGGGGACCATCGAGGAACATCCTTGATCAGTTGGCTAAAAAGCCACGCGCGAAACCGACAAAAAACACAGAGAATGAACGTCCGAGCGATGGCCAGTGTAGGTCACCCCCCCATTCTCAAGGGAGGGCAAAACCACTTGCACCAGACAAGCGGCGTTTACTGAACGGCCCTGGGCGTCTACACTGAACAGCCCTGCCATGCTCGACTCCTCCTCCTTTGGGCGCGTTTGCTACACGACTTCGCGTGTCGGGGTGGTTAGTATGGGGGGGGGGGATTTTTTGATTTCTAAGTTACCACCCGCCCGAGATCCCCAGGGGCGACGCGCGCACAGAAATCCTATTGAATATGCGTCGTGCCGGGCGCTTTCTGGCCACACCGTTCGGGAAACGATATACTACAAGATGGGTATACTAGATGCTCGCGACACGCGGCCCCCAAGGAGAACATACAGTACTAGTATGTCTTTGTGCGTCCCAATGTAGGTCACCCGCGATTGCCACCTGGTCGAGGGCGCGAAGTTATTCGCGGTTCGCGCTTCGCGCTTCGGCTCCGATTCCTCCTCGTCCTCCTTTTCTCCCTTGGGAGGCGGCGCGAGAGCGCGAAGCGCGAAGCTGGGAGCCCTTGGAGATCCCCGCCGCTCCGCGGCGCTGTTGGCCGGGCGTCCGCGGCTCGCCCCCCCCCCCCTGCCGCCCGCCCACCGGCCTCGTGCGCGCCGCCCTTGGCTGCCCAGGCCTCGGCTGCTCCTCCGGCGCCCGCATGCGGCTGTGCTCCGCGTGCTCCTCGTGCGCAGTGGAACGTCGCAGGCCTAATTAGGAGGTTGACACCAACACCAATATCGGCGGTGTGCCTCCACCGAGGGAAGAAGATCCCGATCTCGGCGATGGTGGTCATATACTGTCTTCCAAAGTGGCCGAAACATTACCACCAACACCGACATCTACGATTTTTTCCCCCTGTGGAGGCAAACCCCTGTGTTGGTGTTGGTGCTTATTTCCAGGCCTCCAAGAACGGCAAGCAGACTCCAAGCAGAAGCCCTCCGGAGGCCCTCCTTCCCAGACCCCTTCGCGTTATTAAAAAAAAGCACGGCGGGAGGTGTTTCGCTCTTCTGGGCCTCCGGGGGCCCCTCCCGGGCCTCGGGGCCGTCAAGAAAGGACCCGGGTCGAAAAACCGG